TTGGATAGTATATTGTACGATTGTACGAACGCTGTTGGATGCTGTCGGTGTGGATTGAATGCGACTCGTTGTTGGTTGTTCGATGATGGTGTGGTTATAGATGTGGTGCGTGTATGTATCGCAGTATTGTTTGGATTATCTAACAACAATAGTAGTCAATCATAGCACACTGACAATAGTTACGTTTCAATTGGCACTTGGACTGGTCTATATCAATTGATGATAGTTCTACGGATCTACTCATACAAACCTCATCGTAATGTTCATTCATGTCTAGATTGATTTTAATCGATTAATCATACATCTGCTGACATAACTTCTGTAAACTTGTATTATTATCTCGATTTAATATTGTATTACATAATCTAATTTTGGTTTTTACTCTACAGTTGAAAATTTTTCGAACGTCTGGTGTTGAAATTGCGAAACAAATATAGCGTAAAAAATGATTAAATTGAAGCCTTGATGCTAGAAATTGTTGATAAATCACAATTGGTTACAGTTGATTGCGTTAATTCTAGAATTTACTTATTGATATTCTTAAGCTGGATGAGTCCCAATTTTAGGCACCAGTGTAGGTAAGACAGTTGGATTTTTCAAACTTGGAAGTTTAAAATAATTTCGTCAATTTTTAACGGCAAAAAAGGGTGAAAAATTTACGTAAAATGAACTCAATATAATACAAAAAATGTAAAATATTTTTCACTATCACATTTTGATTGGATATCAAGTTATTTTTTAACACAAGTGTCAAACTTCAGAAAAAAAAAACTAGCTGAAATAATGAAAACCAATCGAACATTTTAATTAGCAAATTATTTGTCAATTTAAAAAAAAATCCTTCATTTGTGCAAAAAAGAGCAAATTAAAAAAAATTTTTTTATCTAAAAATCAAATCAATATCTATTACATGTATATATAAAAGGTGTTGTTGGTTTCAATAGTAACTTTCGAAGAACTTAATCACCTTAATACTGATCAAATTGGTAAGCCAAAAGTGTATTGACGATAATTTCAAAGCAATCAATGAAGAAATTTCTGTAATTGCCGATAATAAGGCTGATCCAACAAGAGATACGTGACTAAAAATGAAAAAAATTTTTTTTTTTAGTGATTTGCTGATCGTGTGTATAGTGTTTCATTATACATTAAGCGTGTTTGATAGAAAAGTATCGTGGTAAAAACATAATCTTTTTTCGTGTGAAATCGCGTTTTATTCAGCACACTACATTTTTCATAGCAGATCTACTGGGGCATCAAGTTTCAATATCAGTAGAAAAAACACGAATACTTTCGATCGATTGCGTGTACGTTGAATTCAACTGGCAAATTGGTTGGTTTTTTTGAGGTTTACAATGAACAAATGCGGTTTTTAAAATTGCAATATAGTCAAAACTATGAGAGTGTTCAGTGGTGTTCTACTAAATTGTATTGATAAGAGGTTAACTTAAAGTTTTACTCTGTAAAAAGTTTGCAGAATGCAAGCGGAGTCAATAATTTTTTTGTAAAGAAATCCTAATTAATTTTATTTAATCAAGGGTACTAATGTTAATAATTTATTATTTTTTACTTTATACGTCAAAAAAAATTTATGTTAAATATTTAACACTTTTTTATGTTGATTAAAGAGAATTAACATAAAAAATTGTTCATTTTACACATAAAAGTGATTAAATATTTAACGCAAAATTTTTTACGATTTAGAAGCCAGAAATTTGTAGAAAAGCTGAAAGGTCTATATAGTATTGATTATCTTGAAGCAGTTCCTTTGACGATAATTAACACGCTTGACCATTCCTCTTAGTATTGAGGAAATAATTCCACCGAAAGGTATTATACAACCTCTATAGGATCAAAGTACCATTTGAGAGTAAACGTACGGAATTCGTCCAATAAGCGATCCTTATTCCATTACCCCAATGAACGTAATCACGTCTCTCGTTGATTGGTTTACTAAATCCTTTTGTTACTCAAAATATAATTAATGAGACTTGGCTCTTGCTAATTGAACTCTGTTTCATAACAGAGTAAGTTTGCATTTCCAAGTCTAAGGTGGAAATTAAGCTTTTCAATCTATTATATTAATCCGTTGATTGTAACTCAAACTAACAAATGTATTAAGCCAGTGAGAAATTAACTCTTTACTGATTATAGAGATTTTATTTTTGTAAATCAATAGGCTTTATCTGAAGAATAAACATAACCGTACAAAAAGATTTAGGTTAATCTATTGCGTGTTGCTTTTATCGTGACAGCTAACAGATATGAATCTTAACGAATGGAAGCTAATGATCGGCCATTTATACTTTTCATCGTTTTAAACGACGGTAAATTAATTTAGACATTCCGAAATAAAAATTCAGGCTTAATTTTATATAAAGCGGTTAATAATTAAGCCTATATTTATTGTTTTTATTTTGCTAATTTTCAGTCAAAAAATATAGAAAAAAAATCAGAATACAAAACTATTGCTGCTAAACTGTTTGCAATTCCATGTGAGGTTTCTGAGATGATTAAGAGAAATTTTTTTAGCCAATTAGTTTTAGTTGAGCATGAGTCCACCCTAGTAAGATGGGCCAATCTGAACAAACAGATTTTTGGGTATCGTGTGTGTCATCCATCAGCAATATTTTAGTTATGTAATTCCAGATATTCTTGCCTACATAATAAGCAACATGGGGCCTGTTAAATTCAGCACTGAGTAAGGCTTCTGATTTAGTTCTAATTAAACCGAAAACCTGTTTGACAAAATCACACTGGACTTTTGATCTATTTGATATTGTCTCAATGATTATAGAGTGAATGAAAAATTGGTTATGATTCATGATTTTTGAAAGAATGCTTGAGTATTCTAAAGGAAATTTATGTTTTATACTAAAACGTAGCCATTTTTCGCAACCGTAATTCACAAGCTCAAGAATTTGAATCATATCCGATAAAAAAATACATCACGCTGTAAATATAAACCCTTCAAAGAATTTTTATGGTATGTTGTAAAAATGAAAAATTCATTTTTGTATTGTATTAGTTCTTGGCGAAATTGTGGTATATTTTTTTTAGCTGCAGTAAATTCAATCATTGCTATAAATAAAATATTCGGCAGCCAAAATAGAAGTAAATTTATCAGATCTATCGAAAAGTTGCAAAATCACCAGAACGATTTTATAGTAAAATTTCATGAGACAGATAGAATTAGATAGATAGATAGATAGAAAGATAGGAGATTTTCAATTTAGAAAAATGGGTAGGTATGCTTATTTAATGACCTTTCAGATTTATTTTACAGAAATTCGATAATTCTTCGCATTCAGAAGTTATTTTAAGAAGAACCAGACAAAATAATCAGTAAAAAAGTTTTCTGATATGGTCTTATATGACAATATAAGGATATATCCGTAATGTGTTTTAATATGACTTTACATACCTATCACAGGTCTGATACGGCCATATAATCCCATACATAATTTAAAAAAAAAAATGAGTACTGAAAATCTCCGATAGAGAGCGCATGCTCGCAGAATCGTTTCCTTCAAAGAGAGTGAAGTTTTAGGTGATAATAAATTCTGAAATAAAAATAAATCCTTTCACTGTTTTAATGAGTCTATCTGACATTGGATTTGAATTTAATCAACTATTAAACCTGTTTTTGTTTAATAAGATATTTTAATTGAAATAGACATCTAAAAAAGAATAAAACTGAAAAATTATAATAATACATTGCTTTATTCTTACATAAACCCTGATATGACTGTATCAGAAAATTGCTTCTCGTAGAAATATCATGCTCGCTTTGTAAGTTCAATTTTTAAGCATGGGGTGGCGTGCTCAAAGATTCTGATTTTGAGAAACCACCTACTTTTTCTGGCATCGGCCGCAAAATGTACTATTTTAAATACTATAACCTAACGGTTAGAACTTTCTATGAAATCTACTAAAAATTCATCAGCATTAAAACGAAACGATGGTTTTTTCATAAGAAATATTGGTTATAACATTAAATATTTTTAGCGAAAATTCAAGGAACGAAATAAAATGCTCAATTAATCACAGGCTTTTTCATTTCTGAAAAAGCGATAAATTAACGGGACCGAGTGGTGTGTACCTATGGCAATGTTTGCCTTTGACTAATACCAACAGCCAAAGATCAACATGTACTTAAATCTGAGGGTCGTACACACTCGGCTTGTCTTAGTTTTTTGCAGAGTCTTAAGTATAAGCCCAAAGCCTAGAAAAGCATTGAAAACAACGGTGACGTTGACACAAAGTGAGCTAGAGATCAATATTCCTAAAATCCCACACAAATATAATGTCAATCTAGGGTAGTCAATCACTTACATAGATTTTCAACGACAAAGCTCCCGACTGAAGGGTAGTAGTAACAAGGTTCAGTTAATAAACTATAGATTGTTCGTCGAGCTATAAACATTCTCAATAGTAGTGTAGTGGGATTACATTATATTGTAGAATAGAATAGACGATGCTCTGAATTAAAACTCGTCCTAGGTCTCAGCAGTCACGAACCTAGAGACCGAGCACCGACAACAACAAAACTAAGTCGTCACGCACACCTGTTCTAGCCATTTCGTGCTCACTATCTCTTTTATACGTTAAAATCAATCATACGTGTATATTTTTATGGTCAACTTTGTTTGTTGTGATAATGATATATATTTTTTAGCTGGTCCTGTTTTTATTTTCCTTTTTAACACAACACATATCTCAATTATTTTTAAAAGCCACCATTAATTACCACTAATTGTACGCGCAGGTAGCGAAGCAGTAAAAATTGTCATAATTTGTAAAGATTATTGTCCTGATGTTTCGGTATGATTAATTATAAGGAAAATTACATTTTTTATTTGTTGAAAGTTAGCAGCATGAAATTTATCAAAAATAGAAAATCTGATCTGGTATCAAAATCCAAAAAATAAATTCTACTTTTATTAGCTAAATCCTTGGGTTTGCAATTTGATAGTCCGAAGTTGCTCAATAACCATGTTATGATATTACAGGGCAAAGTGGAGATGGAAATGATTTTGGTACCTATTGCAGAAGCCGAGGATAAACCCGTGGGAAAAGGTTGGGATTCGCCTGATCCCCTTCCGCCACCAGAGTAAGTTTAAATCTGTTCAGACAATAGAAAATTTTATTTGATACGTTTTCTCACTGGTTCTGATGAAATTCAGTGAGATGATAAAAAATGCAATACTACATTTTTACTAAATTGAAATCGTAAAAAATTACTTAGGTCATAAAAAATAGATTTTTATGTCACTTGCAGTAAAACTTGAAGTTACAATGTCTATTGAGCCAGTTGAAAAAAGACTACTTGAGATCGAAGCGATCGGGTTCATTCCGAGGACAAAAATAGCTGATTTTTGGATAGTTGAATGTAACAAGCCTTTTCAGACTTATCAGAATTGATTTTGATTATTTTAAGTCTCGAAATTTGAAAATTGCGGAATTGGTCTTTAATTGTCTTATTTTGATTCGCTTCGGACATTAAAACTTCAAGTTTTGATGGAAGTATTTTAAGAATTCAACGAAGCACTTTACTTTTTTGAAACACGATAGTTTATATTGCACTCAACAATTTCTTTCTAAGGTAACTGAAAATTCTATTTTGAAACTATAACTCTTCTTCGAAGCACTTAACTATTGAAATTCTCATAATAATCTGCAACTGTTTTCTTTTCCATACTTAAAATAATTTTCTAAGATAAAAAAAATTTATCTAGAATCAAATAGTTTTTTCCAGTATACAAAAAGTTTATAGTAGGTCTAATAAATCCATAATATTATTTTACAGGCGTCATATCTAAGAATATTTCAATTAAGAATTCAATTTATAGATTGTCACCATATGATTGATTCAATTTAATAAATTTCATTCAATCATGGTTCGATCGAATTTACGCGATAAATATCAACGAATATAATTTTTTTTAGTCAGTGAGTAGTATCAATTTCCCGTAATTATGCATGTAAAAGTTCCCCGATTTTTAGTAGCTACATATGTATAAATTTCTTACGTAAAGTAATTTTATTTATTGATCTTACTAAGTACTTTTTTAATTTTATTTACTTTTCTCAACTTCAAAAAACTGGTAATTTATATTTCTGTCACCACCATGTGTTCTTCATCACTCGATCATAACATATGTGACGCGTGTTTCTTTTAAACGCGTACGGTATAAAACATAAGACGCAAAAAACATAAATAAGACTATAACAGTGAATTAAGCTCTGAAATGTGTTTCTAAGCGGATCTAAAAGTAAGAATATTAACTTGCAATTAAATATTATTCTAATTTTTTTAGCCGACCTGACACCTCATTTTCCTGGTTTCGTAATCCTTGGAAAGCATTCTACTTCGTGGTCTGCCGCTACTACAAATGGAAAATGATTTGCTGCTGCTCAACGTTCCTGTTCATTTTGTTGTTTTGCTGCGCCCTTTATGCGTTCCCCGGTTACCTTGTTAAGAGAATATTGGGTGCTTAATGAACTTTGTACAAATAATTGAGTAAATAAATAAATTGAATTTTCTTAATAAGCTACATTTGCATCAGCTTTATTTACTTTATTTTCAGTTAACATATTAATCTACGCTCGATTTTAAATGGCTGCCAACTTATTTTCAAAGATAAATTTCGTATTTTTTAACAGTATGATCAGTATCTTGATCAAGATAAAGATCGTCATTAATTTTCAAGACTTAGCGTGCAAAAATGAAAAAATCTAAGGAAGATGCGTGATAAATATTTATGAGATTACTATATTAGAACTTTTAGGTTTTTATTATAAAGCTTCATTCTTCATAAAAAGGCGATATTATAACTTATAACACAAAATTAATATCACTTTTTAAGATTATTAAGATCATTCATATTAAACGCAATTATTATTATCCAAATTTAGACATTTTTAAAAAAAGTGAGATAGTACTATCAGTCACAGGTTTATTTATTTGAATTTAAAAAATTCTGCATTCAATACAGATTTTGAGATAGAATCACCGTTTTAGATTTATTTCACAAAAAAGAAATAATGTTAATTTTTTAAATTGTTGAATATTTTAAATAGTTTGGGTAGGCACATTTATTTAAAAACTAATTAAATTGTTAATTAAACTTATTGTATGCAAAGATCATCTTAAGAAAAAAAATTAATAAAACTAATAAAAAATTAACACAGTTTGAGATAAAAATTTTCGACTTAAGATCTTTATTTTGGATAAAACAGAAAAAATTTTGAACAAAGAAAATTTTTTTGATTTAAATAATTTTTACTTTGTTCAAGAATTTTTCTTGATAAAAAAAAATGAAAAAATTCTTCAAAATGATTTTCAAAAAGATTTCAAACTTTTCCTCTTTAGAGCCGGTCTTAGTTATTACAGCTTCGTGAATCTCTCCTAATCAAAGAAAAATTTTAGAAAAAACTCTCTGCTACTCGATAGATTATTTAATTATCTATTTTCTAGCAGTGTTTTTTTCGAAATTTTTATTAGTTTAAAAAATATTCATGAATCTGCAATAGCTTTGCTGTTGCGAGTGCGACAAAGATAGAACGGTTTCTCTCGATGAGTGCAAGGAAAGTTATATCAAATTAAGGTAGTACTACCGGTTTTAGAATTGACGTTCAGAATTTAATGAAATTCGGCATATTGGTACTTTATAATATCATAATTAAGTAGTAAAATTTTTGGAACCTGAGCAAGTCCTGAAAAAAGGATATTAATATCTACATATTTTTGCTTTTACCATTGATCCTTATAGAGAATCACAGACTTTATTTTATTTCACAAAACTGGACGTTTAGATTCTTATAAAAATTAAGACAACGAGAGAAAATAACATCTAGAACATATTTCATAACAATCAGTATGGTTTCCAAGAATATGGGAATATTTATTAATAAAAAACATTCAAAATTTATCTCTGTCTCTCTTTCTCCAACGTGATTTAGTATAGGGAAATCTACTACGTTAATCAAATAAGGTTAGGTTTTATGATTTGACTCTTGTGGTAACGGTAGTACTACCTTAAGGTAGAAGTACCGTTTGTAGCCACCTTAGCACCGTTTTTGGTCAGTTAACAATTGAATTAATTTATAAAAAATTATAATATTATAACCATATTTTTGTTGAGTTTTAAAAAATTTATATTAAAACAAATCGAGTTTGTAATGGTTTATTAGTATTCATTTTTATCGTTTATTTAAGTAATAAATGGCCATAAACGGTATAGTGGCCACAAACGGTACTTCTATCTTAATTTTTCTTCAGTGCATATTTAATAAAATAAAAAAAATGCAATAATTCTTTCCCTTTTTCCATAAGTGCTCCATTTTGGTTTCCATTAGCTCCGAACATCCTAAAATGCAGTGGTGGTCATCAAGGATAGATGTAATATTTCAATAATCAACTTTATCATTGCTCCTACTCAGTTCCAGTCGATTAGAATAAATAGTATCAATAAGATCACCATTACGATTTAGTAATCTAATTTAAATATTCTAATTGTTTAAGCCAAGGGAAATAACATGATATTGATATATGTTAAATCACAAACTAGATAAATATAATCGCCTTATTCTTAATAAATTTCAACTGAGGAAATATAAACATGAGGTCACTACCCGTCCTGTTTACTTTTGTGTTAATGCACCGAAGCTCACTTCAAAGTTCTAGCTTCTACGTATTTTAGTAGAAGCTAGTCTAAGGCAAGGATAGTGTATTGACAAAGTTGGTGAATTTGCGGCTAAATAACCACTTTCTTCAGTACTTTGTATATGTAACATTAGTTAAACTATGGATTTGACTAACTTACGAAGAAATAATTAGTTAGCTGGTGCTACTTGGTGGTTATTTATGCTTAAGAGTGTTGCTTGAACATAGAAGCAACATCGAAAAGATTAAAGGATTGGGAAATTTTGATCAGAAACTGTCTAAGTTTTTACTTCCAAATGTTCGAATTAAATTTTCATCGCTCGTAGAACTTTAATTAATTAAGAAAACATATTGCGTCTAATTTAACGTTTCAAGTCGATTACATCCGTGAAATTAATGAAGGCAAGAACATGTATGATGATAATGGTCCTCACACATGGTATTCAGCCACACAAACTACAATCATTTTCTGCCCAGTCAGCTACGAGAAACACATCATTACAACGCAAGTGGGGTAGGCAAGTAAAAAAGAATTTAACAGAGACGCTCGAGCAGATCTGTTTAGATATACCTCGACCTTATCGAATGCGTCATGTTTCCTCTTTCTTATTGTTATACTCCCCGTGCTTGGCGAGTACTCTCGAGAAACGTGATTGTGCTGTCATCTAGTAGTTTAGTTATAAATACGTTATTACGTCTAGTTATACGTCTACTTATAAATATGTTATTATAAACAGTTATATTTAACTTGGAAAAAAATTACGGTCTCACAATATATCCGTACATATCAATTTATATCAATGTCGGGTCGAAAAGTTTTTTTACTACTCGAGAGTAAAATAATTCTTATTCATTTTTTTTTTCGATAAAATTATTGTAATAAAATATTTGAATAGATGTATTCTGAAAAAATTTCATTTTTTGTATAAACTTGTTAATTTTTAGCAACAAAAAAAAATTTTTAGTATATCAATTTGACTAGAAAAATTAAAATATATAATTTTGAAGGATTAAATCATTCAGCGAGTTCTTAACAGGGATTTTTTTTATAATTTGAAGAATTATTTGAAATTGTATAATGACTGAAAAAAAAATTATTTATTATACTAGCACATAATATAATATAATACGTATAAATATTTAGAAAAAATTAAACACATAATAATGCTGACACTGGTAAAAAGATTTTAGCTTGACTCAAGACAAAAATTCTTGAGCCAAGAAATTTTTTTTTAACCCAGAATTTTATCTTATCTCAAAAGTTTTTCTCCTAATTCAAGAAATTTTTTTGTTTTCCTTATCACAAAATTTTTTCTCTTGAGTCAAGCTAACCTTTCTATCTGTAACACAAAATATCTACTCTCTTAGTAATGCCTAGCGTCTACTTTTACCATTTTCTTAGCAATGCCCCTAGCAACAAAGCTCCGCAAATCCAACACCACCTCTTTATTTGAAGAAATTTAATTGACATATGTGCAATAAATATTTTATATCATAATTTTCACTTTATTTTCATTAAACAACTTACATAAAATGTATTTTTTTTTCAGATATTTGATTTAATTGAATTAAAACATTTAAAATTGGTGTAAAAAATTTGTTATTAAAAAAAAAGTTTTTTTAAGTTTTTCTTTAGAATGTAAATTTAATATAATGAAAACTCAGTTAAAATAATTAATAGATAAAATATAAATTTTCAAAACAATTATACAAAAAAAGTTTTTCATTATTGAGTTGAGTATATTTGAAAGTTGTTAAGTTATTCACAACTTAAATTTATAACTAAAGCCAGGGAAAATAATTCTGACACGACGTCGACTCGGAGTAGAGTCATAACTTGACAATATTAAATAGAGATTAAACTTGACATACATACTGCAAAGTGTTGAACCGTAACCTTTTCTTGAGTTCACGTTCACAAATACGAGACGCCTACGCGAATCTAGCTCCGACAAAAAAAGATAACTAGAGAAACTTATAAAACTTGATATTCAAGTTTCACAAAACAGATAAAGTACTGAAGTAACCACCTTAACACTTTAAACGTTTACTCGACAACGCATTTACCTCGACGCTGAATTACAGTTCTCTATACAATTATTTTCACCAGGACTTCTACTTCCGTCATCTCGGTGTCTTTAGAAAAAGTCCAATAAAAATCCCGAGCAGAATAGAAGTACAAAAAATAAAAATATTGGTATTGAGTTAAAATAAAAAGGTTATTCAATTTTTCCTATTCAATTGCTCAGCTATTTTTTTTGACGCAGCAGAATACAATACTCAATAGGTAGACTAAAAAATTTAATCTAGATAAAAAAATGAATTTTTCATCAAACCAATGCCCTGGAATATCGTATTTCAATGAAATTGAAAAAAGTAAGATTTTATTTTTATAATTAAATCGATCGTTTTAAGTAAATAATACACTGGGAATAAATTTAACTTGATTCAAGAGAAAAATTCTTGAACCAAAATATTCATTTTGAAAAATTTTATCGTCTTGATTAAGATGAAAAATTCTTTAAGTAAGAAACTTTTCTTGGTTTAGGTTGATTTTATTTGATTCAATAATTTATTAACTCAAAAAAATGAAACTCTCTGGCTCTAAAAATTTTTGTCTTAAATTAAGTTAATGTTTTTTCAGTGTAGAACATAGTTATTATATAGAGTGTCCATTTAGATGGTCCAATATTTGAGTCAGTGTTCTCCGACTGATAATGGTTCCCAATTATTGGACAGTTTGTAACATTGAGATAATGGAAAGCAATAAACAGTAATTAAGCATCACTATAAAAGAGAGTGTATCAATAGAAAAAATTTTTTAGCGCAATTT